TGTGTCCGCAGCCTGCTCCGCCTCCGGCCTTGCTGCCGGCCGGCCCCGCCCGGGCTCGGCGACGCGGGCAGGAGGCTCCCGGCATCCATCCAGGAGACTCGGCCAAGCCTCGGGCTTCACTTGTTGCTGCCCCGCGCTGCTGCAGGGCCGAGGCTTGTCCGCTGCGCCGGGGTCCGCGGCCAGCGCAGCCCGCGCTCTGGGTCGGCCCCCCGGTCCCTGCTGTCAGGCCGGAGCAGAGAGCGGGTGCTGACGGGGAGGGCGACCCGGGTCTGATGTCCCGCTGTGCCTCTCCCACTTGTAGCCTCCAGGATTTGCGGTCGAGGCAGCTCTGATTCACAGCCGCCAGCCCCCGCTCCCGCGCTCGGTAGCGACTGACTGCTGCCCCTTCCCTCCAAGGACCCGTTGTCCCCTGGCCCTGGGCAGGGTGCTCCACCCTGCCAGAGAGCGAGCTTCCTTCTGTTCATTTTAAACTGACTACCGACTCGTTTTAGTTTGTGACAAATGATTCATACCTTCCGATATGAGAAGACGCCTGGGGTTAATATTTCCTGTAGCATAACGAGTCCGAGCGCTCTGATCTGCGCTAGCCAGGCAGGCTAACAGGAGAGACTGGCGGGTTAGCAGGAACGCCGGTTTTCAGAGACGCGGGGGGATGGCTCAAAACAGCAGGATGCACGGGAATTTTGGAAGGAGCCCCCAAAATCCATGTTTGCTTGTTCCTGTTGCATGCCGGCCAGGACATACCTTCAGTGGAAAGTTGCAGCAAGTTAGAAGGATGATGTTGAAAAGCTGATGCTGATCACGACTAGCTTGTATGACGTTGAACGTGTCTTGTTCTTTGTCTTTGCATCAGAAGACTTGTGAAAGCTTGATTAACGTGGTGTTAACACAGCTTCCTCAAGTCATGTTACTTCAAGCGGGAAGGTTCTTGAGGACACAAGGCCCTTGACATCAAACCTGTTTGGGCTGAAACTGACTCTGGATACTTTAAAACTTCTGAGGCAGCATAAGGAAGTGAGGTTGAAACTGTTTCATCATCACCCTTGACAGTAGAAAGCTGTTATAATTTCTCCTGTGGGGGAGGGGCAGACATCCTTGCAGTTTATTTTATGGCTGCACGGTATTTTAACTCAACAATCTGAGGCTTTCTTATAGGGATTTTTTTTCTGTTTTACTTGGCACTGTTGTTGTGAGCTCATAATGCAGAAGGCCAAGAAGTGTAATTTCCAAGAGTTGATTTTAAATGCAAAATCATTATTTGAATAAACAGTAATACATTGGGTATGTCACCGACAAGATCTGCATCTGTAGAGAAGGCTTAGAGATCTTTTCCTGTGGAGCTTTGTTGCCTATGTTTACACTACGGTCTTGATTAGTATTTCCTCTGGCATGACCTGCTGCATTTGCCTGATGAATACTCTCGCTGTTTGGGTGCATTCTTTGACACGTAGAGGGTTTCCAAAGTCACAACATCGGTAAAAAGAATATTTTGAACATACCACAATAAGAGATGAAAATCTGTGGTTCCCCTGCTCTGCTGGAACTCAGACAGAGGCCCTGACCAGGGATTTCACCAACCAGAAAAATGGATAGGTGTGAGGAAGGTGCAGAATTGTCAGTGAAGAGGCAGTGTCAGGTTAAACCACACCTTAGTTTTACTTCTTGCTAAATGGACTTCTTTAGAAACACTTATTTTCCCGTCAGCTAGTTGCTTCTCAGCCTCATTTTTTTTAAAGTGCCCCAGTACAGCACAGAGAGCTGGCAAAAGAACTAGTGCATAGAAGGATATACCCATCTGGGCTTATTTACTTATGCTCTTAATATTAATGCATTGTTTTTGCTACAGTTGACTACATCCAGTTGAAAGTGCCAGTTATTCAGCAGCTGTACCACTGGGACTGTGGGCTAGCCTGCTCCAGGATGGTGTTGCAGTAAGTAATTGTTCTGGGTTGAAGGGGTGGGTTTGGGCACAGGGTGGGGAAAGTATTACTTATACTGCCAGACACTTCCATATATCAGGACTTAATGCTAAGGGCAGAAGTTGGTAGAGGTAGCTGGCTGTGACCTAGCCTCCCAGCTCCATCCAAGCATATTCTTCCCATACCCTTCCAAGAATTATGGCTGCCTGACTAGGCACAGCACCAGCTCTCTAGCAAGAGGAAAAGAAAAACAAAGCTGAAAGATTTAAGTAACTAACCATGTGTTCTGATAGATGCAAAATAGTTGATTAAGAACTCTGCCGATCAGCATGTTTAACCTGCTAGAATGTTTTCCCTGCAGAGTAGCATGGTTTACTTTACATGATTATATCCATCCTCCTTGCTGGGGCAGTTACTTGGCACAGCAGTTCACTTAGTGTCCTTTCTGTACTTTTTCAAATAACTAGGAGTTCTAGCCCATATTAATAGATGTTAGTATCTTGCCATTCTCCAGTAGGGTATCTGCTCTGCCAGGTAAACATTTAACATTCCAGAGATTGCTTGAGTTTCAAGACTATGCTCTGTGTTGCATTTGTCTTTCCTTCCACAGAGGAACATGAGCTTAGGTGCAGGAGAGTGAAATACCTATTTAGATGTCCACTTAGTAGCTATGAAGCAGAAGATTTTCATTTCTCTCCATCCCTTCTGCCAAGACGTTAGTCCGTGTGCTGGTAATTTCCCATCTTGACTACTGTAACCTCTGCCTCTCCTTCCCCTTTCACCTCTTTTCCTCTCCTCCCCATTTACAACTCAGCTTCTAAAATTTTATCTTCTTACCCTGCTAATGTGACCTTGTTTCCTCCCCTCCCTGAATGCCTCCAGCTTCTCCTTTTTTCTGTACAAGTTCAGTTGTTTCTCATTTACAAAGCTTTCTAGATCTGCCCCTGAATAAATCCCTGGTCTCTTGCACCCTTTTCCACTTCACTTAGAATGCCACCCAACTGGTTCCTTTCTCTCCCTTGTGACCTTCTTCATACAAGCCTCAATGCCTGAGATACATAAATATTTACAAAGTTTCTTTCCTCTTCCTCCAAAAAAATTATTTTGAAATCCAACTATTTCTTGAAGCAACCCAGCTCTAGTTCCCACCCCTGTTGTGCTTGCTTTATATTGTATGTGTGTTCTTGGACTGTAAACTCTTCAGGATAAGACATTATTTGTTTAGTAGAGTTTACTGTGCAGTATTCTGTACACCTTTAGCACTGTACAATCAAGACAGTAATAAATTTCAAAGAGAAAGTCACGTGTAATAAAACCAACGAAGTCCTCCCTGCCTTCCCTTTTCCCTCCTTTGAAATTTGTGATGCATTTGTGCATTATATTGTGATCATTTCTCAACCAAACCCTATTGTTTCAGGTTTTCCTTTCTGTGATGCTAAGAGGCTTGAACTGAAACAGACACATTTTGCTAATACCTGCTTCCCCTTCCTCCCAATATCTCAGGTACATGAATCATTTGGATGACGATGAGTTTCAGAAGGCCATCCGGGAACTTCGATTAACAAAGAGCATCTGGACCATTGATCTGGCCTACCTAATGCGGCACTTTGGCGTGAAGCATCGGTTCTGCACACAGACGCTTGGAGTGGACAAGGGCTATAAAAACCAGGTTGGCATCCTCATTCACTGGGAAGGAGCAGGTGCTTTTAATAACAGTCCATCAGAGTCATGCTGGTGGAGACGTGCTGTGTTGTTGTTAGTTCCCACAGTTCTGTAAAAACAGTTTGTCTACTGTCACACGGTCCATGAAACCATTTCAGAGCTGAGGCTAGGGCAGTCCCAGAACTTCTTCATCTTCGATTCCAAAATATGCTTGTGAAAAAAAATAGTATGAATTTAGTGTTCATGAAAGGTTCCAGCCTATCTGACAGCCTTGGAGACTGAAGCCCTCTATTTATCCACAGAACAGGTACAGCCTGGGCAGCGGCAGTGCTAGCCTCCACAATTCCTAGCCCCCACACCTCTTTCCCCACCAACGTGCCTCAACCCTGACCTGGAGGAACCACCTCTAGAGGTGAGAGGGGAATTCAGTCTCCATGTCCATGCAATCCTTGGTGTTTGTTGAGACTGCCAACAAGGGGGCTTAAATAGTGCCAAGAGTTGTGATGGCTTTTCTGATGTAGACTTGCCTGCCCAGTAGGAACCAGTGTGAGACTACCAGACTCATCTCACATAGGCAGCTGAATAGCCATCAGATGGAAATTACATCTTACTTACCTGGCCTGAATTTGAACTGATGACCTAAAGCAGATTCTCACCCAGGGATGTAAAGAAGGAACATTTCTTATCAAGTTTAGCAATCTTGTGCCCCAGGCAGTCCCATGCTAACAGGGTCTTTTAAACTGTAGATTAACTGAGGATGAATTTAATTCTGGCAAATGTTCATCAAGTCTCTTCTTTCCTCAGTCATTCTACAGGAAGCACTTTGACACGGAAGAGAACCGGGTGAACCAGCTGTTTGCACAAGCCAAAGCCTGCAAGGTGCTGGTGGAGAAATGGTAAGCATGTTGGTTCATCTGTTTTTCCCTGGGAGGTCCGATTCTCTTCTCACTGGTGTGACTATGATCAGTTACTTTTGACTTATACTGGTGCGAATCAGATTAAAATCAGGCCCTACCTGTCTTCTGCTCTTTCCTTTGAGATGGAGGCAGAGGACATGATGAGATGATTCGGAAGAGGAGGAGAAAAATGTAGGGCCATGAAA